CAGAATCTGTTCGTAAGGAACACTAGACTCTTGGTTGACTGTCCACTGAGTTCATATGCTTTACCTGTCAATACCTAAAGCATAAGACAAATTAGTATAAAACTCACTAGCCAGTGCATTTGTATTGACAAAAAGTAACCGGGGGCTTCCCCGGTGGCGCAGTGGTTGAGGGTCCGCCTGCCGATGCGGGGGACACGGGTTCGTGCCCCGGTCTGGGAGGATCCCACGTGCCGCGTGAGCCATGGCCGCTGGGCCTGCCCGTCCGGAGCCTGTGCCCCGCGGTGGGAGAGGCCGCGGCAGTGAGAGGCCCGCGAATCGCAAAAAAAAAAAAAAAAAGTAACCGGTGTTTTGTTTTGTTTGTCTAAGTTTTAGGAAGGTCTCAGAGTATTTTATTGAATCACTATTAGATATCCTATATTAGCCAGAGGGCAAACCGTGACTGAAAATATAGTACTTGTCTTTTATCTTAATCCGCCCTTACTAATTACCTTAACTAGTCCTGCTTTGGAGTGACCAATCCTACATCCATTTAGCTGTAGATAAAGTTAGAAACTAAATCAGAAGGGTTCATTCCAGCTTTGTTCTTCAGAATTCAATTGATTTTCAAACGTAGGTACTAATCTCTTGGATGCGTTGCATTAGGAAGGTTGAATCAAAGTAAAATAAAAACTTCCTCGCTCTGTCTTCTCAAAATGGTTAGCATTGTGAACGACTCTGGAACTAGGCTCCATTCCAGAGCACTCCAAACTCAGGACCACAATTCACGGAGGGGAGGACTCCCCCCGCCCCCCCGCCACTCGCTCCCCACCTGGCCTGCCCGCCGGGCTCAGCAGCCTTCTCTCCCCAGCTGTCTGGGGCATAATTCACACCTACGAAATGCATTTTCACTTCTGTGGCTGATTTTCTCCTTTGTCAAAAAGATTCACTTTGTTATAAAGCAGAAACTAACACACCATTGTAAAGCAATTATACTCCAATAAAGATGTAAAAAAAAAAAAAGTAGAGCCAGAGCATGCCTTCTCCTCTCCCCGGGCTCCTGCAGTGGCAGAAGTCAGGCTGGCTGAGCTGGTGGCCTCGGAGCTGGGGGTCCCTGCCCCATGCCCCCCTGCCAAGCGCACTGAGGCCAGGGCTTAGGAGAAAGCTCTCCCTGTGTTCACTCCTCAAGCATGGCCAAGTGCCATCAATTAAGACGAAGCAGGAGGATCGTAAAGGTGGTCAGATTTACGAGCTTCTTTTTTTACTGCCTCTGTCTCAACAGAGCGTGAGCCACAGAGCCATTTCCCTCCCAAGTGATCCCAGCCGAACGCTGGCTGCCCACGTGTCCTATCAGGCCACAGCCCCCTTCCAGCCGTGGGCACCTCCCAGGGAAAGTGGCTCCACCAACCCTGGGGTCTCCCCCAGGTTCTGCAGCCCATTCTTGTTTCACGGCTTAGAAGCCCCCAGGATTCTCCCTCACCCCTGCGCAGCCCACACACAAACCCACTACTTGCCCTCTAACCCGCTTCCTCCTCACCCCAAGGTGTTCTCTTGGACCTCAAAGGAAAGACTAGACTGTGGAGGTGGATCCTGGCGGCTGTTCTTGGGTCGAGGTCCTCTTCTCCAGAATCGCAAATCACACAGGGGGTGTCCTGTGGGTGGTGAGACCCCATGACCCCCAGGGGCTTGGAGGGGACCCTCTACTTTCCCTGCATCACATATGTTGGGGGATGGTGACCCCAGCCAGAAGCCAGGCATTCAGCCCCCACCCAGACTCCCAAGTCCTGACATCTCGTTCAAACCCATCCCTGCCCTCTGTCCCCGATCCTGGGGCCTCAGACCTCCACTGCTTCTCATCTGATCCACCCTCCCCTCTCCAGCCCCTACCAGAGTGGCCTTTCAGGAACCCAAATTGGATCACAGCACTCCCCTGCTAAAAGCTGGATGGCAAAAGCCTGAGAGGCTCTCTCTCCTTCACCTGGAGCCGCCTTGGCCATGAACCAAGCCCTGTCTGTGGATCCAGCCTTATCTAGGCCCCTCCTCAGCAATCCCTGCGCTCCAGCCTGTCAAACACCTTGTCCTTTGTTACCAGAACATGCCTTGCACTTGCAGCTGCTCCACCTTTGCACCTGCCATTCCGCAAACTGCACCTATCCTTCTAGCAAATTCCTGCTCATCCTTCAAGCTGGGGCTCAAAGGCCTACTCCTGCATGAAGCCCTCTCCAACCTCCTATCTCAGTCAGCTCAAGCTGCCATAACAAAATGCCACAGACTGGGTGCTTAAACAACAGAAATGAGTTTTCTCGCAGTTCTGGAGGCTGGAAGTCTGAGATTAGGGTGCCAGCATGGTCAGGTTCTTGTGAGGGCTCCCTTCCTGACTTGCAGATGCCACCTTCTCCCTATGTCCTCACATGGGGCAGAAGAAGAAAGAATCTCCCTCTTGTCCTCTTTCTATAAGCCCACCAATCCTAATCAGATTAGGACCCCATCCTTATGACTTTTTTGAACCTTAATTACCTCCTGAAAAATCCATCTCCAAATATAGTTATGTTAGGGGTCATGGCTTCAACATATGAATTTGAGGAGGACACAATTTAGCCCATAGCACCTCCCCAGACGAAGTTGGTTACACCCTCCTCCAAAGCCATATTTGCTAGAGCAGGACATCCCTTTGTCACAGCACATTCATCCTTCATCTGCATTTGTGTCTCCTAACAGACATTTGATGAATTAATGGACTCCATGCCTCTACCCAGTTCCATTTCCTGCTCCTTCAGCATCACCTCCTCTGTGAGGAGGCCCTTGTCTCTCAGCAGGTTTTGTGTGATAACCTGTCTGTCTCCCCAGCTGTGCCCAGAGCTCCGAGAAGGCAGGGGCCACTTCTCACTCACCTCTGGGCACTAGGCACCTTGCACAGAGCTGGCCTCGTGGGGAGCTTTCTGCTTCTGCTATGGGAGGACCTGTAGCTGCAGGCTGGACAAGGCCTTATTCCAATATTTCCCCAGCCCCAGGAGCCTCTGCAGTTTCCTCAGATCCTAAGAGGAGACCTTCCTGCTGCCTGCACAGGAGAGCAGGTGTACACGCTAGAACAGGTCACTTTCCGTAGCCCTTTCTTTGTTCCTGCACTGGAGCAGACTGTTATTTTTAGCACTGCAGCAAAAGTGAAAATCCCAATGCCATGTCTTTGGGTTTCCCTCCAGGTCTCCACAGGTGCATGGTGTATAAATGGCCCTACACCCGGGTCCAGAGAGTAGCTGCCCAGCTCACATAGGCTATTTATTTAATGTATCTACTTTTACTCCAGTCCAAAAGCATCAAGCTCTGGACCAAAGCATGACGCAGTTGAGCCATTAATCATTGGGAATACGTTGAATAGGAACTTGATTAAAGCACAGGATGCGTTCCCCGAGACGAGGTTGCCCCTTTAATGTGACCACAGTGGAAGTTCAGCCTCCCCGGGCCTTGCTTTTACGCTGCGCCTCCTTGAGGGCTCCTGGGCCGGTTGTGGCGTCTTGCCAGCCTTTTGAAGGCCGCTGTCCGGGAGGGGTCTTGACCAGCGCAGCCCCGCGATTCTCAAGCAGGCAAACTTCCAAACAGCATCCAGGCGGCGTTGGGCTTCAGGGCACTTAGGGGCAGTGGGGGGTAAGGGGCAGTGGGGGGTACAGGCGTGAGCGACTTGCGGGCCCACGAGGCCCCTTGGGAGCCGGCTGTCCCCGCGATCCCGAAGTAGAACGCGCGAGGCGCCACGTGGCTGGGGAAAGCGCTGCCTTGAACCCCTTCCTCCGGCAGCAGCGAGTGCGGAGGCGGCGTGGCGCCCAGGGGTCACCGGGGCTGGAGCGCCTTGTTCCCCAGGATCCCGGGGGCCCAGAGCCCCGCGAACCACCCTGCAGGGTTCTCTCATTAGGTGCTCGGACCCTGGGCCGCAGAGACTCGGAGGCCCCGGCTCCCTCGACACCCCTGCTCCCGCCTTGGAGAGCACCTGAATGGGGCGTAGGGGAGAAGGCTGTGGATTCCAACTCCGTTGACCGCCGGCCCCGCTTCGGGATCCCCGACTGGGAGTCAAATTCGCCTCTTCCCTCTGTGCGTCGCCCCTCGCCCCGGCACCCCAGCCGGGGAATCCAGTTCGGCCCGTCCCGCAGGAAAAAGTTAGCGGCCCCGCGCCGGGTAGCAGCGCCAACTCCGTGTACCTAGCAACACCTAGAGCTCCAGCTAGGAGAAGTAATCGAAAAGAAAAGGTTTTCCAGCCCAGGCGGGTGGACCAGCCGGCTCCTGAGCCCGGCCGCGGCCGCCTCTCCTTCCCTCCGCTCCCCGCGGGGTCCTAGCGCCCTGCACTGCGGGGCCGTGGGACCCCGGAGTACTGGGAGGGGCGGAGCGGGGGAGAGGTACTTTTGCGCGGAGTCGGTGAGGACGCCTGGAGATCAGAGAGAGTCGCAAAATCCCCGCGCTCCGGGCCTCTGCCCTCGGCCTCTCCACGCGGCAGTGTGCGCTGGGCCGCACGTCCCAAACTGCCCCCCACCCCTTCTCTACGCCGCCGCCTTCCGGAGAGCCCGGACCCGGACAGGACTAGTTCTAGCTTTTAAAGCGAGTCTGCGCCAGAGAAGCTCAGAGACGAAGACTTGCCCACTCACCCCCAACCAATCCCACCCCCCTGCGCGGCGCCTGGGTGCTCCCGGACTCCCCGACCGTTTGCTGGAGTTGGGTGCCCTGCGGAGGCTAGAGGAGGGGGCCCTGCCACCGACCACGTGTGCGCGGGGACAACAACTCTGCCGAGGGTGGGGCACCGCGCGCAGGTCGTGGTTCGGCTGGCGGCGCAGGAGGTAGTGGGCGTTGCACCGCGGCCCCTCCCCGCCAGCGCTGCGCTCTAGCCTCACTCGCCGCCCTCTGCAGACCGTAGGCGCTAAGACCCAGGAGGTACTGCTCCGTCGTCGCCGAAGGTCCACGGCGGGTTTGGACACTAGAGGGCGACCACCAACCCGGTATAAATGCGGGGCCCGCGCGGGCCTGGCCATTCGCGACCGGGAGCCGAGCGGGCGCGAGCGAGTAAGGCCTCCGGGTGGGCGGCGGCAGCAGCGGCGCCCCGCGCAGGCTGGAGGCCGCCGAGGCTCGCCATGCCGGGAGGACTTTAGCTCCCCCATGGAGTCGGCCGACTTCTACGAGGCGGAGCCGCGGCCCCCGATGAGCAGCCACCTCCAGAGCCCCCCGCACGCGCCCAGCAGCGCCGCTTTCGGCTTTCTCCGGGGCGCGGGTCCCGCGCAGCCCCCAGCCCCACCTGCCGCCCCGGAGCCGCTGGGCGGCATCTGCGAACACGAGACGTCCATCGACATCAGCGCCTACATCGACCCGGCCGCCTTCAACGACGAGTTCCTGGCCGACCTGTTCCAGCACAGCCGGCAGCAGGAGAAGGCCAAGGCGGCCGCGGCCCCTGCAGGAGGCGGCGGCGACTTTGACTACCCGGGCGCCCCCGTGGGCCCCGGCGGCGCCGTCATGCCCGGAGGGGCGCACGGCCCCCCGCCCGGCTACGGCTGCTCGGCGGCCGGCTACCTGGACGGCAGGCTGGAACCCCTGTACGAGCGCGTCGGGGCG